AATAAACAAAAGAAAAGATAAAAATGTTTATTTATTTTTATTATTGGCATATATTACTTGTTTTTATCCTATGAGTGCGATTATAATCTGTTTATGTAATTGATTGGCAACTTATAGATCACACGACGCCAGAATATTCCTCAGTGTTTGCATACATTTTCTACATATTTTGCTTTATGTCATCGCTTATTATGAATTTAATTTATATTATTCATGTTTTTTGGAAATGTGATAAATGATTGCACATTTGATAAAGTTATTTAGAAATGCGATAACGAGAGTGATGGCACTTTTTTCGTACTACACTTGATTTGTTTTCAACACAATTTTTCCCTATTTTTGCCAATTTTTTCGAGTTGAATCAACGTTAAAACAAATATTTATTTTGCATATAATTTACGATATAAAAATTATAATACTCATATACAGTACTAGGTTTTAAAATCTCAGTTACACGTCAAACGAAATTGTGATATTAAATAAATACTTGAATTAATTGGGAAATTATAAGGAAATACTTATTGTGAACATCTGTCATATCAATTGCATTATCAGATGGGAGAGCCGTTTTGTGGCGTGACTTTAAAATTGATTAAAAAACAAATAAACTGAACTTCGGTTCAAATTTATTTTAAATGATAATTAAGCGAAAAATATAATTTTCGTAATTATTTTATTTTGTTACGATTATTCAATTAGTAAAACTAGTAGAGAATATTTTAGATGTAGATTTTAGATATTGTAAGTCAATAGCAGAAAAGGGCATTTTAGTATAATTATAATTTTAATTAATATAAAATTATACATTTATTGAAATAAAAGAAATAAATAAGGATTGGATTTAATCATTTTTTCAAAAGCTACATAATATTTATAAAGTATATTTGCAACGTTAAATGTACAACATTAAGTAAATAGATTGATAGCTAGCGAGTTTGAAAAACAATTTTAAAATATAATGATTATTTTATGTCCTTGTAAATATGTCCAGACAATATTATTCAAATAAATAAGTTATTATTAAATTTATTTTATATTTGTAAAATTTGAACATTGTACCCGGTAATGTATATATTTAGTTCAATTTGTATTAATAATGTATAAAGCATCCAAATCCAGTTATTTAACTATTTGCTGCGATAGCCAAGAACTTCATGAGGTTTAGTATGCATACGAATCATGTAATGCGGGTCATTTTAAGAGAGTTTTATTTTAACTATAAATAACTATTTGATGGGTTCGTAACTATTTTAATTATTTTAGAATTTTAAGCAAAATTAGGGCATAATCTTGAGATTTTGAATTTGAAATATAGAAATATTTATTTTTATTGACTTTTATTAATAAAGCAAACTAAATTGGTTATAATTAATAATAGAAATAATGTTTAGCCTACCTATAGCCTATTGGTACGTATTATAACATATTGTACTTTTTGGTTATGTATACATACATAGTATATTATTCATTGAAATTTTAATTTAATATATGATTTATTAACTAGCTTAACTAATTGAATTAACTGAATCGTGTACTTATAATATAAAATTTACTAATTTCTTTAAATATAATTTATTTTTATTAAATTAGGAAAATACCAGTATATGTGAGAAAATTGAATTCTAAAATATATTTTATACTAATATCTTAAGTATTTTTGTTGTTATTACTTTTAAATTAATATTGTTTAGTGGCTAAAATATGATATAATTAAGATTTAAGCGATTTGTTAAATAATTAAAGGTCAAAATAGATCAGCGACTTCGTAATATTAACTATAAAAAGTGAAATTATGGGAAACATAGGAAAAATAAATAACTATTTAACCAACTATTTGACCACTTTTTGTCAACTATGATAGTGACTATAAAGGTCTTTTATACCACCTAGATTTGGATGCTTTAATAATGTATATCAATATTAGGCTAACAATAGAAGCAAAGTCTGCTTATAATCTTAGAATATCTTATAAAAGTTATATAATATAAGTAATTATATAACACTGTTAATTTCCAAATGTATTTTAAACTTTGATATTAATAATTAATAAATAGTTTATGGTGTCGTTAAGTGCAGTCTAATTTAATACCAGTAATCACAAAATAAAAGTAGACTTTGCTTTTAATTTATAAACCATTGAGTTTAAACAGATATATTATAATTAAAATTTGTAAAATTAAACTAATAGTCTGTTTTTTATTTAAAAAATCTTATGTGAAACTTAAAATGAAAATTGCATTATAGAATTTCTGAATTACTAAATATTTTTAAAATGTAATTAAACTAAACAACACAGGATGTACAGTACAGTACTCTAACATTCAAGTATTTTCCAATAGTAAAAGTACAAATGTATAATTAAAATGATAGACATAAATTTAATTACAATTTTGAAATGACCGTATATCTAGAATTGGTTATCAAATTATACAGAAATCAGTGGAAATCAAATTGAAAGGAAATTCAGTGTGAAGTTTGGAATAGAGTGTAAAATGAATTCAATATTGTTATCTTTTAGTTTTAAGTAATTTGATATTTGATTAAATTCTTTATAAATTTTTTAAATTTCAAAGAAATATAATTTATTTAATTTTAGCACTTTATTGCTGATAATTTTGTAAACATAATATACCAATAATCGAATTTTTGTAAGATTTATTAGAAAACTATAAAATTCTGTCAAATATCAAACTTTTAAGCAAAAATATGTTACATTAATTACTAGTCATAGACATACAGTAAGGCACTGTAAGCTTTACACTGTAA